CCTGTAACAACCTTCGAAGAGCTTCCATCTGCAAAGGAATGCAGAGAATTCGAAATTGTTACGAGACGATAGCTTTGATCAAAATATCTGAGTGTTATGAAGAAACGGAACTTTCCGGATGCGATGATTTCACGTTGAAAGCACTGTTTTCGTGTTTTCGTGTGGACTCTTCGAAACGGAACTTTTTGAAAACGATGATGTCACAGTATCAAAAACGCTACGTGTGAACGGATAAATTTTGAAAACCGCGAAAACAAAAAAAAATTTTTCATTTTCAAAAGAAAATTGATACGTGTGGACTGGTCCTGATAGTATGATCAACTTGGACGTAAACACTAGATAATCTGTTCCATTGTACATACTGTAGTGCATCGAATTGAATGTGTACGGACAAGAGAGAATGAGCTAAACTCTTGGGGCTTTAAGGATGAACTGTGCCGGGGTTCTCCCTTATCTTTGACCCTTGATTGACTAATACAACCAGCCTACTATAAACAGACTCTTCATCGGTTTAAGGTGTATTTCTCTGCATGTGTTCAAGATTAACTTCTATTATTCTGGTGCCATCCTCTCTTGGTTGGAGTCTCGAAATTCTTCGAAAATTGTTCATCTTCGAATGTGAAATTAACAATTAAGAATTGAAGTGGGTACTACTTTGGGTGAACCGCATCAAAGGCGCGGAATACAATGGAAAACAGGTTACAATAATGCATCACCAGTCTTGTCAACTGATCAGCTCAGTCTGGTACATAATTAATGCACAGAAGAGATATTTGCTTCTTCAAAGAAGACTCAAGTGTAAATAATTTGATATTTATTTTGGCATGCGATGAATCACTTGTTTGTTTACCTTCCTACTTTATTCATTCTTTGATTGTACAGAAAAAAAAGGATGAGAACCTGTAGCCTAAACGTAAACATAGATAAACACAAACATATGCACTCAGTTATTACACATCCATTCCATTCTATTCATTCAAATAGAAATAGACAGCTTTCAAATGATTTGTACACCTGAACAATTAATTAAGAACTTACATTTGGCCATCTACTCTTTGAACAAGAAGAAGCAAACATAATGCGTACGCACTCATTCCACGTTAAGTGGGTAAATTACCATTTTTTGGTGTCCATGGCAAGTTTTGGGGACTCAAATTGTTTTCCCATAATCATTTCGCTGAAAAATACTTAAAATATGCCCAAATAAATAGCGATAGTACCCATTTGTGCTCCTGTAGACAGTAACTTTGATGGAATCAAGGCCAAAAGTGTCTAAAAAATGCAATTTTGCTATGTCCACAGAGAGGGTGGGTACAGAAGGTTACGGTATATTTGTGCTTGTTTCCTTATACTATGGAAACTAATCAATCCAATGTCTCGGGAGGGACCTAAACTAAAGTCCTACATGATCATTTCTCACTGCAGGTCAGTTTTGTTGCTTTTAACTACAGTGAACTGGTGTCCGCTATTTTTATGAAACTTCCGTTACCAATCTGAGCGCAGATCACAAATGGCCTAGAAATAAATACTGCGAATGATTTACATCGGGTAAATATTACTTAAGTTTGCTCTTTTTGATACGCAATACATAAAATGAAGAGCAGAAGCCTGTGGAAAGAAATTCCCTCTCACAATAGCAGGATTCAGGGTGAACAGTTAAGGTTGTAACTTCCGTTACTAAGATTACAGCAGGAAAAAATGAAAAGTGGGTTGTGCTGATTTTTGTGGTGACGGAGGAGCTAGTGAGGATTATTATGGAGTATGTTGGGTGTTTCCGAGTTATTAATTTCACTTAAAGATGTAAAAGAAAAGGTAGAATTGTAACTTCCGTTACTGTAACTTCCGTTACCAAGAAGTTGTCCGGTCTCTAAAACATGGGATAAACGTCAGGTAAATTTCAGGAAATGCTGTCACACGATTGCCCCATCAAACAACCCAAGCCTTGATGACATCTGGTGAAGATTTCGTCATAAGTAACCCTCATACGTGTTCCATTGGTGAGATACCTTTCTGTCAAGTGTGATAAGGGAATTTTAGCTGAGTTTGTGGTTCGAGGAGTTTTTTTTGCATAGTTTAAAGAAGTTTATTTTCCTTTGAAGTATTTCTAGGCAATTTAGGAATATAAGATGAAAATGGGACAGGCATCTTGATCAAATTATTATTTTTTTTAAAGTAACGGAGGTTACACAAAACAGGAAGTGGATTATCTGAAGCTGTTTTCGCTAGTTCAACCCTCTTTTCTGTGAATGGACCTTACAATATTCATGTATTACAATTCTTGTACGAATTCTAACAGATTACCATGTATCTATTCATTTTTTTTCTTTCAATTCAATTTATTTTGCTCATTTTGTTGTTTTTAGCCTCGTTCCACCCCAAAATTCCAAAATTTCATCCAAAATTGTTTAGCATTAATTCAATTCAATGGAATAAGTCATATGCAATGTTATTTAAGACGGTCTGTAATCCCAAAAGTAAGTAGTTGGAAGAGAAATGAAATATTACCTTCCTTCTGTAACTTCCGTTACCGAAACTTATTTGATAATCACTCGTTTTCTAATAGATCACATGTTTCCAAACTATAAAAAAGGTAAACAACACTTTCTTTCCTTCACATTTAGCAAACTAATGTTTATTCTGACGGCTTTTTTAAAGAAAAAACATTAAAAAAAAACACAGCAATTTTAAATTCTCAATATTTTGTTACATCAGACCAAAGTACACCATAGTAGAACAACTTGACTTTTTCATTCCTTGAGCCACTGACTTGACTAAAATGTAAAACTCAGACCTTAGCCTGCCACGGATTTCATTTTAAACATTTTAGAGTATGCTAAATTGAAAAAAACATACTATAATGCAACACTGTGCTGTTCCAAGCCATGCAAAATATCACACTACATGCTATTAAATAACAGGCTATAACATTTTGTAGATAAAAGATATGTTGACCAAATTTTGGTTTCTCACCCTTCAATAATACATCTTTCGGATAAACTAACTAATTGTCTGATTTGTTGACCTTCAATTTTTCGAAAATCCTTGGCACAATTTACCCACTTAACGTGGAATGACTGACGGTGTCAGCATTCTAAACTGGTCAGTCTCAGCTCCTCCTCAAAAACTAAAATACAGATGTACCGTTGTCAGGTCTGACTTCGAACGATTTTCATTTGGTTCATTTCCCCAAAAAAAACATTTATGGGATTTGGAGTTAAGATCTTTGGGCCTTAAAAGGATGGCGTACAAAGAACTAAACCTACTTAAAAGTAACAATGCAAACAAAGCCGCTAAGAACGCGTTTCACCAGAAGGAAACTGTTTTGAAGGAGTGAGCAAGAGAATTCTTCTTCGATTCAGGTTGTGATAGTCATCTTATCCTTCTTTCCCCGCTGTTAAGTTCCAGACTTTTAAACCATCCTTATTATTCATTCATATATCTGCGTTTGGATACCAAAAAGAGAACACTTACCTCAATTGATTCCTGTTAGGTGTTAGGGGTTAACCTCTGCATGGCAAATAAAAAGGAAAAATAGTCAATACTTCCATTTTAACTTAACAATGTTGGCTATAGAAGTATAACTAAACCGAAAAAAATTGCTTCTTTTAACTAATCTTGCGCTAAAACTATAAGAAATAACCTGTGAAAAAGTAGCGAACCTTGCTTAGCTTTGTTTAACAACTAGGAGCAGGTTATTGCTAGCTATTGTTGGTATGAACAACGAACTGTGGTTACCTTTTTGCTGGAGCAAACTAAATGAAAGAAGGTATAAGGGACACGTTTAAAAAACTCACTGATCTCTTCTATTAAACATGATTACAGGAGTGCGTCTGACATATCACCTGACAAGACCGGTGATGCATTATCGCAACCTGTTTTTCATTGTCTTTCGCGTTAATGATGCAGTTTACCCCAAGAAGTAGTACAGTACTGAAATACTTGATTTACAATTTCACATTTGAAGATAAAGCAATTTCGAAGAAGCTTTTATTTACGGGTTGATTTTAGTAACGCTGTCAAAGCTATCGGCCTGAATAAAACAGATTAAAATTCCCTCAGGTTAACTGAACATTCACTGTATATTTGTTACTGTTACAGTTTCCGTTATTGTTCCGTTTTTAATAAATATTAAAGTTTTCTTTTGAACATTCGGTTGTTTCTCAAAAAAGAAATAAGCACCCTGTCTCGAATAAGCGTCCTCCCAAAAGTAGATATGCGTCCCAGGCGCTAAATCGAATCATTACGGTACGTGAGGACGGGGCATGACGGTATGATCAACTTGGATGCAAACACGAGATAATCTGTTCCATTGTACAATAGCTGATTCCATTAGCAAATTAATATATATTCAACGATAAGAGTGCATCGCGAGCACAGTCCAGTAAAGATCCGGGCGTACGTGTTAGAAAGCTGCTGGATAGCGCTATATGCCGGAGTTTTTCAATATCTAGGAAAAAACAACGCTAGGCTATAATCATGCCACGAAAAGCAATTGTGTTATCAACTGGACAGACGTATGGCGTGGGATATAGCTATCCACCTTGTTTTGAGTAATTCAGTGGACTGTGGTTGAAGTTGAATGGAATTGTGGTTGTAAGCCGCTAGTCAAGAGTAATCATACATTCTTAAGTGCGGTCGTCTTTGTTTATGTTACTGTGCTAGCAGTGCATATAGAGCTGAGAGTGCTAAGGGAAACTAGGAAACCAAAGTCCTGAGACCACAAAAATTATATCTGGTATCTCTGCGAAAAGACGTTATATCACATGCGACGAACTATTCACGGGGAAGATAGGAAAGTGGGTATGCACGGATGACTCATAAGGTCTTTAAATTGGAGTAAGAGTACGACTTTTTAATTATGTCTTGTTCACATGTCCTAGTTTTAATGAATCTTTTATCGCACCAGTCTTATTCCTAGACTCTCAGCTCCATATTCACTGCTCAATGGCAGAAATAAGAGAGAATCTAAGGATATGAATGGCGTAAAATTAGAATGCCGT